TGATGCTATATCATATTGGCTGGAAGACTCCCAAGGACTTTGCTTCTGTGTTTAGCAGATAGCTAATCAAGAACATTGTGAACCATGCATGGACACCCCCTCTCCCCCACCATCCACCTGCTCCTGGTTTCCAACACGGCATCCTTAACCCTCCGTCTTTCTCAAACCCTTACTACTTCTCTTACCAGCCCCTCACAAATCTCATGTGGTTTACCAAGACTGCAACCCCTGGTGTAACAGGAAAGGCTTTTTAAAGGGCCGCTAGGTAACAGGAAGCTTCTGTCACAAGATGCCTGGAGTGCCTCTCTGGCTATCCTGAGCACAGGCGCAGGGATCTGAGTCAAGGACCTGGCTCCTTTTGCTGGCTCTGTCACATGTTTTGTGTATGACGTGGATGAGTCACTTCGGATCAAAGGCTGCCACCCACAAAGTGCACTGGGTCCAGGCAGCAGCATCACCAACACAGTCCTCCCCTGGGCCGAATGGCAAAGGGCATGGGGAGTGGGGGCCCTGGCAAGCATGGGGTACAGGATGGCACAGGTCTGGGTGCCCAGGCAGGGCTGGAGGAGCAGCCGTGTCGGTGACCTTGCTTTGTTGTTGCTGGCTGTGAGTAGATGTGGCTCACAGATTAACAGCTGAGAGCACATCTGGCAGGCAGCTTGCAGCTGTGTTTTTCGCAGCACCCCTGATTTAAGCGGCAGCATTTGCTCAGTCAGGTTTCCAAGGAGCAGGTGGACGAGGAAGAACTGGCTCTTGGAGCTGACACCTTGACAAGGGACAGCAAGATCAATTAGGCAACAGGAGACAGCCATGCCTGGTGCCCCCGATTCAGGCTTTGGGGCTGAGCTGGCACTACGAAGAAGCCAATCTCATTCCCCCCTCCGGTCCCCACGGCAGGACTATCACAATATGGTGGAAGCCAGGCATGGCCCCGGTGATCATCTTGTCTGGCTTCTCACGCTCCACTTGCCGCAGGGCTTCTCCGAAGCACTCCCTGCCTCACATCCAATGCTAGAACCAGAGTCCTTCTGCTAGGAAAACACATCCAAGCTCGATTTAAAAGGATTTCTACTGAGCAGGCGGATGGTCTCCTGTGCTCCAGGAGCTAATCCAAGGGTAATTCTCAGGGTTCAAAATGCACACCTTAGTTCAGATTTGTGCAGCTGCAGCTTCCAGTTGGCGAAGCTCATTGCAGCTTGGTCTATGAGATGGAAGAGACCTTGGGTCAGATTGTCTCCAAAGCAGGCACATCTCGCCTCGGAACAAGTCCGCCTGACCATCCAAACGGGGTGACCGCCTTGGGTTTCTCCTGCTCTCTGTCCAGGCCTTTCAATCTACCGAGTGTTCACCCCACTTGGCCTGTCTAAGGACCCCGCTGACGTCTGTGGAGCGGTCTCACTGCTCACACCAGCACTTGCTGGAGCGAGGCTCGGGCTGACAAGATGAAAAGCCTTGGGTCCCTCACGGCAGCTGTGCTCCCATTCATCTTCCCCTGACAGCCCTCGGCTGTGAGCGGGAGCGAGCGGGCCAGGTCCTATCAATGCTGTGACAAGTGATTAACTCTGCAAAGGTCTTATTGGGGTGACGTGAGGGGGAAGGTCGTGGTCTCGCTCTTGATGGATGATGTGGTTCTGTAATGCACAGAGCAGCCACCCTGCTCCCAGAGGAGAGCCCTCGCCCGCACAGGGGTTCATAGCACGGACCTCAGCTCCTCCGACTGGGCCTGTACTGCGCACCCGCCTGCCACAGCCAGCTAGTCCTGTCCCTTCCAGTCCCAAGCTCTGGAAAATACTTCTGCTGCAGAAAGCATTGCAAGCCCGCAGCAGGGCAGCACGGGAAACCGTAGCACCCGAAACATGTGCAATCTCTGGGTTTATCTTGTGAATCGTGTGTCTGTCTTGGCAAATCTAACAGTGCTAATATTGTGCATCCCAGAGCACCCTGAAAAGGATCTCACGCGCCCCAGTTGAGAACCACTGCCCTGATCCTACAAGGCAGGCGAATATTAGGCTGAATTTTACAAGTGGGGAATCACAGGGAGCTGAGGAGAAGTGAGGGTATAGGACTCAAACAGCAAAAGGAGCCAGAAGGGGACCCCTCACTGAGGCCTGAGACCCACTAAAGTCACTGGGGATACTACCAAATGTGTTTTCTCCTCCTGAGCTAGCCAGCTGCCGCGGGACTGCTCCCTCCCAGCATGAGAGATGGCTGCAGTAGGTCATGCCTGCACCTCCTGATTGCTCAGGTCCTGGAGCCGAGCAGACCTCTGCACCAGCTGGCGAGCCAGTTCCCAGAGCGAGGGGATGGGGGGCAGTTATTTCCTCCCTTGCTCAGAGGCTGCTCCGCTTCACACAGGGTCTGAGCAGGCTGAAGGGGAGGGTGTGTGGTGGGGGTCATTCAGGAGTCTGGCAAAGGGGCACCGAGGTCTCCATCTTGGCTGCAATGTAGTTTTAAACTGGCCCAACTCAGCCACAAGCTGAACTGGCTCCTGGCTGCACCAAGCCCCGAGGCCAGACTCCAAGGGAACGTGGCTGGGACACCAAGCTTGATATCCCCACTCCTGCAAAGGGTGCTGGGAAGGCGGGGAAGGGTCTCTAATGGTGTCCCGATCTGGGACTTGAAGTCTTATTTACATCGCTGCAGGGCGCGTTTCCTCTCCGCTTTGCAGTGACTGCACATGGTCACACCTGAGCAGATCTGGGGTCAAATGCCACCAAGTCATAATGGCAGGGCCAGGAACTCAGTGGTCTTCACCTGGCAGGAATCAGCTGGACTCCGCTGGCTGCAATACAATGAGGTGGTTGGGGCCAAGGTCAAGGAAGGATCATCCCTATCAAAACCTATACAATCCACCATCTAAACTCTGCAGAAGATACCGTCAACCCTGACACACCAGACCTAGCACCTGAACCTGCCACAGGAAAAGCAGGGGAACCACGGCAGCCAGCGTCCTGCTTCTATAAAAGGTTGTTAATATACGCTCGAGAGATCCCATGTAGAGGCCGTGCCCCCCCACAGTCTGACTAATCTAACAATGGGGAAAAATTCCTTCCTGACCCAAAATCTGGTGATTGCTCTCACGCTGAGTGGAGGGGCGAGACCCTGTAGTCAGGATCCTCTGGGTTTGAGTCCCAGCAGGAGCATCTGCACACCTCAAAGGGCAGCCCTTTGCTATCACGTCCCCTCTTAAGTGTCTTTCCTGCAAACTGAGCATGGCTGGCTCCTTCAACCTCTCCTTGTATAACTTGCCTTCCAAGCCCTTGATCATTTGTGTTACCCTCCTCTGGACCCTCTCTAACTTTTCCACATCCTTTTTAAAACGTGGAGCCTAGGACTGCACACAGTGCTCCAGATGAGGCCTCACCAGTGCCAAGTACAGAGGCAATATCCCCTGTCGTGCCTTGCACCTGATGCATCTATGGATGCAGCCCAACACTGCATTCGCCTTTTGTGCGGCTGTGTCACACTGCAGACTCATACCGAGTCTGGGGTCCACCAAGACTCCCAAGTCCTTTTCCACAGTGCTGACGTCCAGCCAAAACATACTCCAATGCATATTTAAAAGTAAGGTTGAGGGCTTTG